GGCCGCACCATCCACCCTGAACTGAAACAACAGAAGGAGTAATAGTCTGCAGGTTAAGCTGGCAGCCAGATAAAAGGTGAAATGGTGGTAGAAAGTGACGGCCATGTACATTACAGGAAGGAAATGTGCCGGACACTACAAGGCAGAGACACCTGCGAGTGCTCTCCAAATATCTCCAGCTTAGTCATGAATACGGGGTTCCACCTTTAACTCACCCGGACCACAAAGTTCCAGTGTTTTCTCTCGGCAATGAACTTCATCCAAAACTGGAAACTTAAGCTTAAGCTGGATCCTACATAGCAGGAGCTTGGCCCCAATTCTGGTCATCTGGGGGTCTCGCCAAGCCCAGGGAAAGGAAAGCTTCTTCAGAAGGTATTGTACTCGTCAGCGAGTCCGGCCTACGACATCCCTCACACCGGGCCTTTTGGGCTCTTTGGACCAGGTGAGGTGGAGGGGTAAAGCTGTAGTAGGGACGAGGAGGGATAATATGGTGAGAAGTATGCTGGACGGTCTTTGGGCACCACAAGCTGAACTTCAAGAAACCAGGAAAGAGGCCGCATAGGAAAAAGATCATTTTGCCAAAAATGTATAAGAAAAAAACCGGATAAAACTAGTTCCCTTCTGAAGTGCTCGTCTCCTGTAAGACAACAAGCAGGACGGCTCCGCATCTGCACGGGAGGAGGTGGCGGGCCTGCCCTGCTGACGGGAGGAGGTGGCGGTCCCGCCCTGCTGACGGGAGGAGGTGGCGGTCCCGCCCTGCTGACGGGAGGAGGGGGCGGTCCCGTAGGTGGCGGTCCCGCCCTGCTGACGGGAGGAGGTGGCGGTCCCGCCCTGCTGACGGGAGGAGGTGGCGGTCCCGCCCTGCTGACGGGAGGAGGTGGCGGTCCCGTCCTGCTGACGGGAGGAGGTGGTGATTTCAGAGGGCTGCTAGGGAATACAGTATCATGGCGGAGCATCTGGTGCTTTGTACACACATGTTGGGGACTCAGGACACAGTCCTGGGCTTCTATTTCACATGCCACCCATGATGCCTCTCCCGCCGTCTCCGCCCAGTCCCGTCACACCCAGCGGCGCAGGTCAGAGGAGACTGCAGGGGCTCAGAATGGACACATTCCAGGAGACATGGAGCTGGGATGAGCTGTGGAGAGGAGTCTGTTTCTTGTCCTCCTGTCTGAGGCCCTCATCGCTCTCCGAGGAGCCTTCACCAGATGACGACTTCTGTTTTATTCAATGCCACAGAAGCTTTTAGACTCTGGCCGTGATTCATCCCGTTCTTCTACCAGACGCCGCCTCAGTACTGTCCTCGGTGAGCGCGGTCACCCATAATGAGTGGTGCTGTAGAGGGACCGAGACACGTCAATAATGGAAGATTTGGCTCCTCAATGAGTCCCCAACCACACCCCGATCCCCTGCAATACGGCAGCGGCATCCAACCCAACCCAGGTTCCTGCATGTAGCAGACACTCCGCACCGAGGTCCACCTAGGAGGGTCCAATCACACCACATTGAATACAATTCTATTCTTACATTGTCCTATGAGAACAGCGCAGGGAGCAGGGGGAGTGTCCAATCTAGTGGGCTCCTCCACCTATAGCCAATGCTTGAGGGGTTCTGGAAAAGATCAGCAGGGTCATTGATGGACATAATCCAGAGCGACCAATCGCATTGAGGGGCATCAAAACTGGAGCAGATTTGCACGGCAACCAATCAGCTTCTCTCCCTCATTTTCAAATCTTACCTGAGCAAACTGAAGAGAGATGCTGATTGGTTGCCGGGGGCAACTGCTCCAGTTTTGATAAATTCCCCCCGGAATGGTGAATGCCATAAACAATGAAGGGCCGGTAAGCTGCTATGGTTATGAAGGGAGTTGGTAATGTTGCCGCAACCTCAGCAGCCAATTAGATTTCTGCATACAGCAATCAGAACCATGATCATCAAATTCCTGGTTGGCACCGGGTTCTCACACGGTCATAACTGCAGGACAGTACCGGACAAGAGTTCTTTAAGGAACCCGGCAGGTAGGTTGTTCCAAACATCTAAGAGAACTAAGCAGAGCCCCTCTACGGATTTGGGTCACCTCAGTTCCTCCTGTATCTTCATGTAATCCCAACAATGATGTTATCAGGGCTCTGTGGGACCATACCACCTCTTCCAGAGATCGGGGGTCAGTGGGGGCCATACCACCTCTTCCAGAGATCGGGGGTCAGTGGGGGCCATACCACCTCTTCCAGAGATCGGGGGTCAGTGGGGGCCATACCACCTCTTCCAGAGATCGGGGGTCAGTGGGGGCCATACCACCTCTTCCAGAGATCGGGGGTCAGTGGGGGCCATACCACCTCTTCCAGAGATCGGGGGTCAGTGGGGGCCATACCACCTCTTCCAGAGATCGGGGGTCAGTGGGGGCCATACCACCTCTTCCAGAGATCGGGGGTCAGTGGGGGCCATACCACCTCTTCCAGAGATCGGGGGTCAGTGGGGGCCATACCACCTCTTCCAGAGATCGGGGGTCAGTGGGGGCCATACCACCTCTTCCAGAGATCGGGGGTCAGTGGGGGCCATACCACCTCTTCCAGAGATCGGGGGTCAGTGGGGGCCATACCACCTCTTCCAGAGATCGGGGGTCAGTGGGGGCCATACCACCTCTTCCAGAGATCGGGGGTCAGTGGGGGCCATACCACCTCTTCCAGAGATCGGGGGTCAGTGGGGGCCATACCACCTCTTCCAGAGATCGGGGGTCAGTGGGGGCCATACCACCTCTTCCAGAGATCGGGGGTCAGTGGGGGCCATACCACCTCTTCCAGAGATCGGGGCTCTGTGGGGGCCATACCACCTCTTCCAGAGATCGGGGGTCAGTGGGGGCCATACCACCTCTTCCAGAGATCGGGGGTCAGTGGGGGCCATACCACCTCTTCCAGAGATCGGGGGTCAGTGGGGGCCATACCACCTCTTCCAGAGATCGGGGGTCAGTGGGGGCCATACCACCTCTTCCAGAGATCGGGGGTCAGTGGGGGCCATACCACCTCTTCCAGAGATCGGGGGTCAGTGGGGGCCATACCACCTCTTCCAGAGATCGGGGGTCAGTGGGGGCCATACCACCTCTTCCAGAGATCGGGGCTCTGTGGGGGCCATACCACCTCTTCCAGAGATCGGGGGTCAGTGGGGGCCTCTTCTAGACTCCTTGTTCTTTTAATGGATGAAGACATTCCTTTATGACTTTGGCTGTCATTGTCCTGCTGCACTGGCTTTCTTTTTTAGCATTGAGACTAGTTCTACACGCTCTGCACATAGATGGGGCCTGGTGGGTCAGCCTGGCTCTGCACATAGATGGGGCCTGGTGGGTCAGCCTGGTTCTGCACATAGATGGGGCCTGGTGGGTCAGCCTGGCTCTGCACATAGACGGGGCCTGGTGGGTCAGCCTGGCTCTGCACATAGTCGGGGCCTGGTGGGTCAGCCTGGCTCTGCACATAGTCGGGGCCTGGTGGGTCAGCCTGGCTCTGCACATAGTCGGGGCCTGGTGGGTCAGCCTGGCTCTGCACATAGATGGGGCCTGGTGGGTCAGCCTGGCTCTGCACATAGATGGGGCCTGGTGGGTCAGCCTGGTTCTGCACATAGATGGGGCCTGGTGGGTCAGCCTGGTTCTGCACATAGTTGGGGCCCGGTTGGTCAGCCTGGTTGAGGTCACCCATGTACACGGGGCAGCTGTACAGAATTCCCTCATTACATACTCGGGCTCGTCTTCCTGCTCCGCAGCACCACACAATACAAGTCTAAGGGTCAGCCGTCCTGCTGAAAACAATGCACCCCGAGTGGATAATACCTGATCTCAGCAGGGAGGCCTCAGTGATTGCCAGCCATGTGTGCTCCTCCCCCTAGTGGACTGGTCTCCATATCTCTAGGCCTGACCCAATAACGGAAATATGGAACAGCAAGCGTGTAAATAATCCGCACGGCGCCTGCAGAGCCTCCGCCATCATATACACACCATGGAGGTCAATGTCGCCCACACATACCAGAGCACGGCGCCTGCAGAGCCTCCGCCATCATATACACACCATGGAGGTCAATGTCGCCCACACATACCAGAGCACGGCGCCTGCAGAGCCTCCGCCATCATATACACACCATGGAGGTCAATGTCGCCCACACATACCAGAGCACGGCGCCTGCAGAGCCTCCGCCATCATATACACACCATGGAGGTCAAGCCATCCCACAAAGGAAGTGTCTCCATAGGGTGGGGGGACAGTGGGGGGCCATTGCGGTTTATGGGTGTAGGGGGACAGTAGGGGACACTGCAGCTCGTGGGGGGATGGGAGGCATTGCAGTTCATATGTGCAGGGG